GCCGCCGCTCCGCCCTGCGGGCCCCGCTCGGGGCTGAGGCGGTCCAGCGGCTGCGGGCTGGAGACGGAGTCCCGCGGCGCCGCACGCACCTCCAGCGGGGGGACAACCGGGAGGCCGCTGCCCGGGGGCAGTTTGGAGCCCCCCTCTGGGGACCGGGGCCTGCGCCTTGGCACGGCACTTAGTGGGCTGGGGCTGGAAACGCTCCTGAGGAGCCGCGTTGCTCGTTAGAGAGCCTGTCCGGTCCGGCCGGTGAAGGACGTGAAGGGTGTTGCTGTGCCTTGACACCGGCAAGATCACTGGCTGAACTAGAGGTTTGTTCAGGGCCTTGATGTTGGTCCCAGTCTGATACGGTCAGGAGAGTTAAATAAAGATACATCTGGACCAGCAAAATCCTCTAAGCAAGCTTAAATTTTAATCTAAAAGTAGAAACACCTGCATATTAAAGTGCAGACTACCTCATCCGTTTGTAAACGGCCAGCTGGCTGAAGGGAGTCTCCATTGCAACTGAGGCAGCCTCTCCCACTGTGCCCTGTGCTGAACTGGATCCAGTTCCCACCAAAATTTAGGGGTTCCTTCTTTGACCACCCCAGGGGCAATCTGCAACAAATCAATCTGCAATATCACATACAAATCTACAATCAAATATACATCAATCCACAATAAACATGACCTTCCCTTCCTTGGGGAATGTGTTTGTCACCTGAAATATTTGTATTTCCTGCTGTACACTTGATCTGATAAAAAGTAAAAGGGAATGAGGCACTGAGAGAAGTGAAATCTCCAGAATTTGGAGAAGAATTTGATGCTGCTTTCCCAAAACACAGTAGCAGAATTAGGGGCAGAACCCAGATCCGAAACACTATAGCTACTATAGCGCTGTATCTTTTCCCAGATGCAATTCTCAGACAGCTAGCCCTTGTGGACTGATTGATGTACTGGGAAATCAGCAAACTTTAGATTCACATCTCTATAACTTCTTGTAACATCTCAATTCATCATCTTAAACAAGAGGCACAAAACTAATTGAACTTTGAGATTGATATAAGAATATATCTTTATTCATTCCGTGAATATAAGTTTTCATTCTGTTTCCATATGGGAAGGTCTGGCTGCCACTATCACCTGTAAAGTCACTTCCAGATTCATTTCACTAATGTTTAGAGGTGACCCCTATTTTGCATTTTCAGACTGAATATTAGAGTTACATTACTTGACATCTCGATGTTAGACCTGGTCTTTATGGCATTCCAGGAGCAGGGGACTTACCATAACCTATAAACAGACTGATGTTACTGTGCAGTTACTAGTGGAGTGGAGGGGGTTTTGGCTGTTACTTCCTCCTGCTTGCCAATTGCTGGTCTGAGCCCTGTCTCTCTGCTCATGTGTTAATGCTGCTCTAGCTTGATCCCTCATTTCTGGACTGTGTTTCCAGCCCTGGAAACAAATACTAAAATGTGGCTGTGTCACAATCCATGTGGTACAGCTGATGGTTCTGGGGGATTTTAGCACTGCTAGGAGCTTCACATCCTTCATTTCCACACATAAATGATTCCTGCTGAAGAAATAAACCAGGCAACTTGTCATATGAACAAAACAGTTTCTTTCCTGATGAAGATGAGAAAAAAAAAAACTGTAAAAGGTTTGCCTAAACCAAGACATCTGATCTGCATTGGCAAGACTGGTTGCTCCTACTTCCCTCTACCATTTCTGAGCAGAGCTGGATAAAGGGCAGTCTTGAGCTGAATGCAGTGACTGATTCTTATCTCTCGCATACAGCTCACAGTGCAGCTTCCAGAAACTGTAAATCCCAATATGCAAAACAACTCGGTTTGAATGGAAGGCACTAGGCAGACTTCCTATCTGGGTTGCAAATGAAGGTGGTTACACTTCTTTCCACTTTGTTAAATTCCTGCATGCCGGCTAGCAAAACAGTGGTGTCCCTGTTTTAATGCAGATTTGTTTTTCTTTGCCAAAGGTTGGATGGTACAATGCTATTCTTCAGCCAGCCTTTCATCTCCCCTACCCAGATGACACACTGGCCTTCGTTGTCCTCAGCACACCTTCAATGTTTGACAAAGCCCTTAAACCTTTTGTGAACAAAGAACGGTTAAAAATAATCAGGGATCCTGTAGATCAGTGTGTTTCTCATCATTTTTCACGTGTGAAGGAGGTAAGAACCTGAAATACCAATTCCTTTTACTATTGTGGCATATAACCAGGTGGGTTGTGTAGTAAACAAAGCCTTCCAGGCTCCTGCCCTTGCTCTTCAGAAAGGTAAAGCCTTATTCATGATGGTAAGAGCATCAACAGGCTGTTGACCTGCTTTACTTGCATATTCTGTCTCCTTGCCATTATAGCCTGTAGCTATGTAGAGTGCTTTACAGTCATAGTTTGAAAACCCAAGGCCACAAGCTGCTGACAGGCTTCAGTAGCAGGATGTGGAAATCTGCAGTCTTCACACATGCCTAATTTGCTAGCATACAGCACTTCTGTACTGGCAAATCTTTTTCCATGAGCCTGGGCTGATGTTTTTTAATTTTCCCAGAAATTCCCTGACCAGAAGGTGGATATCATCTTTGATTATGAGATTCTGCCAAGCCGAAAGCCCAGGTTCTTGGCACAGACAGCTGCCCATGTTGCTGGAGCTGCATATTACTACCAAAGGAAGGATGTGAAGCTTGATCCTTGGGGGAAAAAGGTGAGGCAAAAACACAGTATGAGAAAAACCACTAAATTGCAATCCCTGAATCATACAACTGTTGTTTACTCACTAGTTCTTCCTGCAGGAAAACACAAAGTCCAGATCATATATAGATGGAGTGTTTCAGACAGGAATTGGAAGCTTCCAAGATTCTTCAGGGTGGCAGGGAGATACATACATGGAGAAGAATATCTTGATCTATTAAACCTACTTAGGAGAATAAATCACAGTATAAAGGAAGACCTGTTGCTTGGAGCACTATAAATAGAAAAAGCAAAATGCACTGTGGTTAATTTCTGTGTTAATCTTTTCAAAAAGGGTCCACTCCCCACATTACAGCTGCGTGTGGGCACAGGAAAATGGGAATTAAATGCAGTGTTTAGAGTCACACGTTTAGGAGAGAGCTATCCTTTCTTCTCTGTATAGCACTCCAGCAGAGGGGCTAGGAGTGTGAGAAGTTGCACTGAAGCTTGATGCTTTGAACTCTAACCATGACTAGAGACAAATTGAGACATCCTAGATCCTTCTTCTTTTTTCTTCCAGAAGATCTATGGTGTATGTATCCATCCCAAGTATGGTGGTTGGTTTGCTATCCGGGGTCTGCTCCTGTTCCCAGATATTCAGGTACTGTTCCTGGAACAGTCTGCCCCGGTTGACTGTGTGAGCACAGAAGAGAAAAGAATTGAGTTGCTGGAGCAATTCAATTTCCACTGGCAGGATGGCCGCTACAGGGACATAATTGAAGTAAAGGAAAGATATTCAGAGGAGCAAAAAGCCTACTTTGCCACTCCTCCAGCAGAGAGATTCAGACTGCTAGGGCTGACACAAGAAGCCCAGAGAAGCACATTTCACTAACGTGGCTCTGTGAAGGGGCAGAGGGCAAACAAAGTGTAACTCATCAGCACCTTCTTTTCCACCGTGCTGAGGACGGCGTGCTGAAACAGAGATGGCAAATCCAAGCAGCGTGTGCAGCGTCTCAATCCAAACAGCAGCTCCTCAGAGTCAGAGGGAGCACTGCATCACAGCACTTGTGGTCTGGAGAAAGGTGGGAGCAGTCTGTGCTGCTGCTGATTCGGTCTGTCTTTTGGGGAGTCTGGTAAGATGCCAATTAGCCTTTGGCTGGGAAAAGTTCAGACACCCTGGCAACTGGAAAACCCGTACTGCTCACCAGAGAAGTAATTTTTGTTCTCAAGAATTTTTCTTCCAAATATTTTCGGTTTATTCTGTGTAAGCATAAAAAAAATTAATTTTCAGTCATTGTACTCAGAAATATTTTATCTGAATTCTGGGCAGATACTTTTTTAGATGCATCCAGCATTTTATTACTGTGTGTCATAATTCTCCCTAGGGAATAAGTGTTCAGTCTTCTCAATCTTGCCTTCCCCAGAAAGAAAATTCACTCTGTATTCCTTCAGTTGCAGTGAAGCTGACTTAATTTAGTTAAGAAATCTTGTAATGTCTCTGTAACATCTGAAAGAAAATTCTCCAGAGATCGTTTCATTGTGTACTGTGGTCCTTTACATGGAGCAGGAATGAAGAAAAGATTGCCAACAGCAACCGCCTCCTTCAGGGTAGTTACGAAAGGGAAAGGGATGGTACAAAGGTCATCGCTCGAATCTGCTATTTCCTCTTCACCCAGGGTCAGCTTCTCAGAACAAGGTGATGTCTTTAGGTCAATTTTAAGCATTTATCCATTGTATAGAGCAGCTGACTAAAATCTTTGGAAAGATGCTGAATAATGTCTATGTGAGTGGAGTTCCTACTCAAGATAACTGACTGAGAAAAAGACACTTCTTATGACCTTTTTCTAAGGCAGATGAGGTTTGTATTTAAAATATTTTTCAGTGCTGTGCCAGCACACACCACACACACCACAGTTTTACTACTGTAGTTTCCCGTTGTACTTTCTATATGGGGGAGATAGTAAACCTGCACACACATAAAAACCATGGCATGAAGCCTTGTCTCACACACAGGCAAACAAGCAGAGAAAAAAGGAAAATAGTCATGGCGTTCATGTTATTTATATTGCTGGGTAAAACATCTTCAGACAGAAACAACTTTTTTTTACATTACTCTGTCCTGTTGGATTTGTTCAGAGGTTACAATGGCACTGGGAATCAGGAATTAATTTATCTTAGAGCACTTTGAGGGTCAGGCCTCATTAAAATAGTATGTTAAATTAAAATAATATTTTGTGGGAGTTTTGTTACTTGACTGCAGTGCAGTGCTGCAAATTGCTAAGCACTTCTTCCCTTTCCACAATATCGACATGATGATGCAAAAGTACTCGGCAGAACTGAGCCCTTTCTGTTTATTTTACATTGTGATTCTTCATACTTTTTGGAGACTCAAACACTAAGGTTGCCTTCACAGTAAGTCACTTCTTGATACAGTTTTTCATAGTCTATATACTAAGCATAATCAACATTTAGCATAACAGGTTTGTTTTTCTGTAAACAGAGTAGTGAGCATGTGATCACTGGGTTTGTTCAGTGTATTTGCTGCTACAAAAAAAGTCTTTGTTGCTTCCCAATGCTTTGTTTGCCACAGTGGACTAAGGCAGACACCTGACAGTGTGGTAATAGTACTGTGATTTTTAATTTAAGCAAAATAATGGAATTTGTTTAAATTCTCTTCTTTTGTTATAGAATTACTTCTGGTTGAAATGTTGGTTGACCTTCCAGAACTTCCCAAATGAACTGTAATTTAACAGGGACTTGAGTTAATGGTTCATATTAGTAACATAAAAATACTAATTCTCTTAGAAGGATAAATACAGAATGGAATCAGATCTATCTTTTTACATTTCAATTTAAAATATTTTGCTATTTTGGGGTTGATTTCTTACAAATATTGATTGTTTTGTCTTAGTTCATTTATTAAACAGATTACCATAGCCATTTCATTTCAATTTTTGTAATTTATTTATCTTCATGTGGTATTCTGGATAATAAAATACAAAATTGTAAGTAACCCTCAGTACTGAGTATTTTTATTTAAACAATGCAATGATTAAGTTGTGGAGAGCGAAAGATCTTAAAGTGAGAATCGATTGCTGTGTTTTTAACATACTGAAAATAGTGAGCTACCTAAGACACACAAAATCTCATATCTGAAAACAAAAGAAAAAGTTAGTTATCTTGGTAGAAGTTAGCAAACTATCATGGCAGGCTCATCTGGAATATAAAAAAAATAAAACATGGCACATAAATGTTTATTAGACTTACTCATTATCTTTCCCATTTCAGCAAGATCATTTAACAGCAAGCACATGACAATGCACTTTCATTTTTGCCTCTGTTCTTGCAGTAACAAAAGTTCAAGGTGTCCAGAGATAGAAACTGATATTTGAGGGACTTTTCCTCAGCAACTTAAAAGTAATACCTGTAAGTACTAGAATTCTTATTTGTTAAAACATATGAGTGAATACTGAGTGACCATAAGGGCAAATCTGTCTTCTTTGTGCTGCTGGCAATACAGTTACGTCAGGCAAAACAGAGTACAGATATTAAATAACATGTCCATTCCTACTACAGTGATTTTAGAGTGAATTGGATTAGTTCTTAGTGGCTCTCTCTCAGCCAGGTCACTGAGATCCACAGCCGCAACTAGTAATTTTCTTTCCTTGCTAGTTGGAGTGTAATGGTCTTTGTCTTACAAAATTGAAGCTTGAGAACCTGTTTGACATATCTCATCTCTCGGGACAAGCCTAGACATGGCGAGGAACAGATCCTGAGGCATTATGAAGGCATTTTCAGCACTTGTAAATGTCAAACATGTAATTGCAAATACTTGGATAGATTTACCAGTTCAAGTATCACATTATACATTTTTAGACAAGTTTTTCTCTAAATCCTAACTCTTAAACATTTATTAAAGTATCTTTGCCTCAATATAACCAGCAGGGTGAGTATTCAAGAGCTGAACAATGAAAAAAACTTAAAAAATTAAAAGCTAGTTGAATTTGAATTCAGTTTTAGCAACAAGATATTCGTTATTTCAAGCTAATACAATATTCTATGAATAATTAACAAATTTGTAATGTTTTCATGCACATAACATCATTTATCCTCTCCTTCAGTTAAAATTTCCCTTTTTTGACTTCATTAACCTTAAAATAACTGATATTTTAATTAAGATTAAAGATGTGACAAAAATTACAAAATACTAAATGCAGAGTACAATCTAATCTGGTGACAAGCAGCCATCAGGATTATTGCTCAGTAAGGGAAAAACACTTGAGAAAACCCTGATGTTCTTTTTTGTACCAATTAAATCAGCTACATCTCAGTGGTGCAAGAATAAGCACTAATGTTTCTTCAGGCTATGAAGTAGAGTTTGGCAAGCTTAATTCTTGATACTGTCTTATTTCCTTCTCCTATAAAAAGGGTGGCTTGTAACAATCCTGTCTTCCTCTAAGCTATGGAACACTAGAGATGGTTTGCTGTGTAAATCGGTGCTGGTGTGTCAGACAAAAATAGCCAACCTTATGAGAGCAGTGCACTCTTCTGGTTTTGTTGTTTTGTTGGGGGTTTTTTAAGCTTTTTCTTCTTTAGGGCAAGATTGCCCTCCTCTGGGTCAGGAGCATAATTTTACTCATTCATATAGTAGATGGTCTTTTATTCATTTGTGGCCAAAATTATTGGTGGTGTAGCTACTGTTTAACATGGGTTAAATTTCTGAAAATGCACAGGGACTTGAATTTAACTAAAATAATAAATCTGAGTAAAGGCTTCCATATTTCTAAAAACAAAAAGTGGCAGCTACTGATCAGCGCCACTGTGGTTATCAGCACTCTTCGTCCAGCCCCATGCAAAATGTACATTTAAAAAGTCAGCTTTGAATACCAAGTTAAGCAGCAACACTTCCAAAGTTCTTCCTCTAAGAGGAAGTGGGTTCTGCCATTTACTGCAGCAGAGAGCCAGTTGTACCTCTGTAACCTTAACTTTCACAACTTCATCTCCCAAAATGGACAAATGTATTCGTGAGACTTTTTTTTGCCATTAAGTTTGCTTCCTGTCATATCATATATCCTGTGACAGATCATCCATCACATTTGCCTTAGAAAGTGAACAGAGCACTTCCCTTCTGAGTTTTCAAGGAGGAAACAGAAAGAACCAAGGAACACAAACAGGCTTTTCTTTTCTCTCTGCAACTGAAAAAACAGATAAATGCTCACATTCCTTAGAAAAACAGTACTTTAGATGAAAAAATGAGGTGGTATTTTTTTTTTCCCCAATAACTGAAACACAATAATGGGAAATATGGTGGGAAATTTAAAAAAGGAAATACTTTGTCATAGAATGAGGAATAAGATATTTTAGTGGAATGTTTAATGTCTCTCAGATAATATACCACAATCTGCGAAATGTAATTTCATATGTATAAAAGTATTTGAAATGGCTACTTCCCCCAAAAATAAATTACATAACTATCATTCATTAATATTAAATAATACATTTCTCATTTCATTATTTTTGTAGATGTTTTAACATAATTTTAATAACTGTGTATGATTTTTTATAAATTAATAATTTTTATTTTAATATTAATAAATATTTTAAATAACTGTGTATGTTTTATTTCCCCAAAACACTTCATAAAGGAAATTTTGAAAGAGAATTTGATTTTTTTCTATCTTCAAAGTTTCTGGAAATCAAACACCTTTATACTAAGTTGCTCTGTTTTTTTTCCCCTCATGTAAAACAAAGCATGGGATAGGATAATTCCTGTAAGTAAATTAGACAGGAAAGGGTGAGGGGATTTTCTGTGTTGAAAAATAACCTACAGAATCTTAAAATTTATGCAGAATCATTAGTTTTTCTATGAATGCATAAAATCTTTTATTCATTTAAAAGGAATTAGATAGTTTTCGGTTTTAATTTCATGACATAACCCTTTTTCTAGTATTGTTCTGACTAGTCTTCCTGAACCATTTACTGTTGCTTCAGTCTTTTTTTTAACAGGCTCTTCTTCCAAAATATAAAAAACTACAGCAATAAAAATGAAAAGAAATTCACCTTATTCTTTGTGAAAAGTGAATTTGATTAAATACATTCATTTTAAATTCCATTGTTTTCTTAAGTGTAGATTAAAGACTTTTTTTCTCTCTTGACAAAGGATATTAATCTCATTTCAGTGCAGATACTTCAAAAATATGTTGTTGCAGAACATGGAACATA